ATATAAAATAATCACATTATATACGATTAAGAGGAATGTATTGAATTGAAAATATGAGCTTTGTAGATTTTATTAGTGAAAGTAAATTTAAAAATAAGAGTGCTTTCATAGTTTTCCATATTTTTTTTGTTGGTAACAGGATGAATGGGTATTGTAAAGGGGTTGGGGTAGTCTTGAACAGTGAGATGGCGTGACAGGATGCATTGTCATCAGACATCGCCAGGACTTTGGCAATAACTCACTGCAGCTTTGCTTTCTCTCAGCTTATTGTAGAGCATCTTTCCTCCTTCTCCTTTCCCTGTGCTCATTTTACAATGTGTTCATAATTCAATTTTGAGCATAATTCAATGGAAAGTTTCAGCCTCAGTTAATTCTCTAATGCACCATTTTTTCCTGGCTTATGTTTGCTTTATCAGTCAATGCTAATTCTGTTTCATTAAGAATAAATCTACTGTCTAATATTGACACACTGACAGCTGACTCATTTTCTTACTTGCTAAATGCTCTTCCTTAAAGTTCTGTTTGACCTTTTGAAAATGAGGCAAATAAAAAATCCGTCAATCAATAAATCAATCAATAAACGTTATTGTCAACTACAATTTACATTGCAATCGAGATTTGATTTTTCAATACTAACCGTTCATCGCATACAACATACATTGCGGTGGGTGGGTGGTTGGGGGGGCTGAGAGGGGGAACGGTTTCGCATATAGTGCTGCTTTTTTTTGTTTCCTACATTAGCATTTAATGTCTGACTCTGAGCTGACTAGATTTTAGATGTGCATTGTAATTATGTATTAGTTTAAAAAAATAAAGTGAGCCCTGCAATCTGAACTTGAATTATTTTCTAATAGATGCTATTAACAAATGTGTGTTTTAGGGCTTGATGATATGGTTTCAACATTTTCTTTGTCCTCATATAAGTTTCAGAAAAAAAAAGAAAAATTACACCTTAAGTGACCTTAAGTTAAAGAGCAAGGAAATTCAAGATTTAAACATGCTGGTAAAATAATTTCCCAAAGCTAGTTTATCAGTTAAAGTATTTGACTTAGGCGTATGTGTCTTTATGTTGTTGTAGAATTAGAAACATTAGTTGTTTGTTACGGTAGTTACCATCTTTCCCCAGTGTCTAACACAAAAAGCAACACTTACGACTGCCTGCAGGATAGGCAGTCAATATCAAGACAACTAGAGCAGTTTTACCTTGATGACTATAATTGCTCTGGCCCCTCTATTTGAAATAATTGCACATGCCGGAAATGCAACTGATTTTTCAATTATTTATTGACCAAATGGCATTTATTGACCAAATATGTGCAAAAGTGTGCCTTTTGTGTGGTTGTACTTTTGGTGGTGGAATAGGCCATTAGCCGCCCGTCCCCAGCTGGAGGAGGGGGGCGGGGGGAAGCACGGGGCCCCCTGTCTCCAGGCCACCATCACCGGGTCAGGTTTGGTCGCTCTGTCCCCCGCTGGCTCCCTACCTCCGTCCGCTGGGGTTCCTGGACCAGCCCCGGAGCCGACGGCTCGGTTCGAATGCCCGGTGTGTTTTGACTACGTGCTGCACTGTAGTCGACCACAATCTCGGACGGTTTTTGACATTCCCCCCGAACATTTCTTTAGGTATGATAAGTAGGACATGTCTGGGAAAAGGAGGACGTCTGCTCACCCTACCATATCAACAATTCGATGTTTCAGTGAGTGAGTGCTTGTTGCTATGATGCGTATTTGCTCAGCAGCTTCACTTGTTGTAAACCAACCAATCAGCGCACAGCTTATCTAAATATTCATAAGCATACCATAAAAAGAAGAAATCCTGTCGTTTCATTCTAGGTCTTTTAACCAGGCTTGCATTAGGGCTCATAGAACAGCAAATATGCCATTTTCAGCCCAACTAATGTTACACACCCTATTCAGAGATCTTAAGTACCAGAGCCAAATGCCCTATATAATAATTCTATGAACCCTTTTTGTTTATTTCTTATACTGACATGAGAAAATTGTCACAGGTTATCATAGTGATTGTCGGTAATGGTAAATATTCGGTTTATCGCTCAGGCCTACTGCAGGTGAGTCCCTGATTTTTAGAATCCTCCCTTTTGGAAATGGAGACAGGCGTGATCAAAGCATTGCTGGCTTAAGTTAGTGTCTTTCCATGAATTATGTTAATCAAGGAGGAGGACCAAGGAGGAGGACCAAAATCGCACCTTGTGAAGAACTCACCGTTGTGGGCTTTTCTGGTTTGAGCAGAGACCGCACACATGAAAACTCCAAAAAAAAACCATGCCACTTTCATAATCGGGATTATCCATTATTGCAGGTTGTTTTATATTTTAAAGCAGGAAAGATGGCCTAATCCACCTAAAAACAGTTGCAGAGAGGCAATATGAGCGGTGTGTTTTTTTTTTTTTTTTTGTTACTGTCAATTTAAATGTAAATAATCTAAAGGTTGGTAGGTGTTGAAATCTGTAGAGTATCACCAAACTATTTTGAGCAGGCGTTATACATAGACATAGACCTTGCCCCTAGTTGTCTTTTACATACGGTATAAAACCTGGTTACACATGAGTTGCCAGATCTTGTTGCACTTCCTTTTTTTGCACTTTCTTCTTGTCTGACAGCCAGTCCTGCTCAGGAAGATTCTGTATACTTAGTTGGACCTTAATCATGACATTCATGCTGAGGTGTGAACATTAACTGGTTTTAAAAAAGGTGTTGTGAATTCTCTCTTAATGAGCATTATAAACTTGGGCTTATTGTTTGAAGTGGCCCGCAATAAAAACAAGTTGCTGTCTTAATGGAAATCTTATCGATGGTGTCACTCTACTGCATTAATAATGCTCTTGAGTATTTTAGGATTTAAATGTGTCCTCTTGTCAGAAACAGCCTTTGTGCAGCCTGTAGACCAGGTTGCCTTCATTTGCACCTTCCCTGGCATTCATCCAGGATCAGATGTTCATGGTAATCTGTCCTCTCACCTCCATGCTACAGATCCCCTGCCAGTAGAATAATAATGATAATTCAGTAACACAAACGTTGCTGTAGAGTACAGCTTGTACTGGAAGTGATAACTTTATTTAAGAAAGGGAGCTGAATGGGATTTCTACTTGGGTAATGTTTTGACTGTTGGAGTAGAACAAAAGGACATTGTTTGCAGCATGAATAAGCTAATCCCGTTGAGTGTTTCTGTCACTCCTGCAGAACAGCAGTTCTGTTTGTGTAGTCGCCATCTAGATGAATGCTTTCATCTTTGTTTTTTATTTCAAGGAGGACCAATCTTAAAATCATGCATTCCTTCATTTTTGTTGTTGTTTTTTTTCATTTATTTGTAAATTATTGAGTAACTAAATAACCCCCACTCCAAATAGTTTACATTGAGGAATACAGGGGTGATTATACTCCCCACAGCAGTGTATCGCAGTGAGCTTTTCACAGATATTTTTGATTAATGCCCAATATTGAAGCATGGTCTGCGCTATATTATTCCACGCCACAATGCAGAAGGGACAATCATGAACTACAGTAGCTGTTGGTCTAGATACGGCCGAGGCAGTGAGGAAGTGGGGGCAAGTTTATGCAACAACGGAGGGACATGAGGGTGAAATAGAGCGGGGATCCAGGTGGAAAAGGGGTCCCAGCGTTCTTGCGCACCTCGCTCTTCTTGCTGGTACAACTTCACAAGTTGTTTTCCACAATGGTGGTCATACAAACAAAAAAAGCCGGTAAGGTACTAAACAGGAAACAAGCATAGTGTAGAGCGGACTTAGATTTGACCAATCAGATGCCTCCTGTCTGCGGTCACCTACAGTTTTGGAGAGGTAGCAGCAGACAGTATCTACATTATTCACCGTTATATACATTTAGGTCATTTTAAATGTGGTGTCAGAAACTCAGAATAAAGAGGTCCATTTTGAGCTCCTTTTTGAAAACACAAATTTCCAACTTTCCTCTCAAGCTCTTTTATTACACTGCATTTCTTTTTACTCTGTTTTATGGTATAGTAATGACTAAATAATAGGATAAATGTGTACCTATAATTTTCCCCTCTTTGTCAGTTGGTACATCAGAGTGGTGCATAGATTTTTCTTCTGTTGCTAAGTGACTGTTTTTAAATTGCAAATTTAATATAAAGATAAGTTATTTCAACAAACACAAACCATCCAAATTTTTTTTCTCTTGCAATTAAAAAATGTATATGCAGTCAAAGCTGATTTAACTCAAGAATGGATTTCTTTGATTTGTTGGAATTTTTTATGCTCTGTTAAGGTTGTTAATGTAACTGTAGGACTTCATTAAGACACAAAAATCCTGGAAGGTTAGCACCATTGCTGGTTGGATCATAGTTATGTGATAAACAACAACAACAAAAAAATAACAAAAAACATAAAGCTCTTTTCTCACTATCCTCATCTTTTGTCCTGTTATTAGTATTAATAAGTTACTACTACTGTAAACATGAGATTGTCGGTCTGTGTTTTCATTTTTGTTAAACTTATTTAATTAGTTAAGTATACATAATGTTACATGAAACGCATATTTTTCAAAAACATAAGAGTAAATTGCTTCATTTGTACATTATTTATCAATTGATGTGGTTGATTTCTTTTAAATACTGCACCGTTAAACAACCAGAAGGCGCTTGCTTAGATCAGCACAGAAAATATGGTAGAGAAGACCATAGAGAAGACCGAATGTCAGATGCTCAGAAGCTCGTGAGGCGCTGCTCGAAATGCGCTGCAGGACCTTTTAATGTCCAAAGAGTTTGCATCTAAACTAGCTGCGTCTGCTACCTCGATCACGTGCGAGTCAATTTTCGCAACTTTTTTTTTTACAGCCAATTTAAAAATTATCCTTACATTCCATGCAAGCTTTACGTTATAATATCCACAACAAAGAGTGTTAAAAATCACGTCTTGTTCAATGTTGAAACTTTTAACCAACATCTGAATATGTTCTCTTTTTCTTTTTCCCCTTCTTCCCTCCCCTACTTTTGAATCCTGTAGCTTGGTCGTGATGAGGGAAGAGTTCACAGCAGGACAATCTATGTTGGCCATAAGTCCTCTCTCCCAAATGAAGCTTTTATTCCTCCAAAGTTTTGTGATAACAGGATTGTGTCCTCTAAGGTAAGAAGCACTCTTGATTTACGCATTCTACATCATCTAGTAATTACAAATTTTTTTTTACTTTTGCTAAAAATGATTTTATAAAACAAATAAAAAATGGAAATTTAGATGTATACTTTTTTTAGTTTCAAAATATGCAATAATAGTATTTAATTTTTGGTATCAGAAGCAAGTGTAGAGAACACAAATCCCAATATTGGTCACATTTGGGGGTGTAAAAAAAAAAAAAAAAAAAAGGGTTTTTTTTTTTTTTTATTGCTTGGCTCATAATCAACAGCTCAAACAATGACCAGAGTATGTAGAAAGAATGCTTAAAAGGGATAAATAAGACATAAAAGAAGAGAGGATAACAGAATGTATGAATAAAAATCCAAATACTATTTTTGCACCTGTGCTTCACTGTGCTTTACCAGCCTTAGGGCATTTTTTTTCCCTGTTCAACTCCTTGAATGTAAATTGAACTCTAAAGCACCCCTGAGCATTCCCATATCTTTGTTCCTTCCCCTTCTTCCATTCCATATGCTTGTCTTTACTCCCGACCAAGGGCGATCATTTGTCTCTCAAGGGAGCAAAGACTGACAACCTTGTATTTTGGCAGTAAAATACATGGATGATAATAATGAACTAGAAGGGTGAGCAATTTGGTTGTTTTCCCATAGGATTTGAAAGCCTCCCCCATGTACATCCTGTGCGTTTACCCTGTTTCATCAGCAAGCTCAGATGGGTATTTCTGGCTGTGTTGGTGATATCATAAGTGAAGGGGATGAGAAGGCGGGATCAGTCAATGCATGAGAAAGATGGCCATGGGATTTATAGTGGCGCAGTCTCGGTGTACAGGGGCCGATCAATTGGCTCCTGCGGGCATGTCAAGATAAACAGTCTTTAATTACCCTGGCTGTAGTGTTTATGCTTCCTGCCGCTTCTGCACTCTATCATCTTTTTGCGTTTGCACTCTGCAATGACCAATGCATGCCTCTCGTCTCATACGTTAGCTGCTCCTGCACCACAACACTCAGCCCCCATGCACCGCTGCCACCCGCCCTTTTTTCTCATTACTTTTACTCTCTTTTCTCTCTAGCCAAAATGAGATGGGCCATTCTGCTGCCACTGCATTTCAACTCTCTCCCCAAGCAGACTTTTCTCAATATAATCAGTGCCTCATTGCCGTTTCTGTAGAAGTGCTCTGTAAATGCATGTGCAGGCATGTGTTAGCGTTTGCTTTGCTGAACAGGAATATGTTGTTTAGACTAGTGCACAGAAAGTCAAGTAGATAAAAGGGTTTCTTTATGCCCAGTGGTACTGTATCAGTGGTCATGGCCACTTAAACAAAAGCAAAAACAAATGTATTCCTGCTCACTATAGTATACTTAGTGGGATGCTACCATTTAAGGCGCACACAAACTTATGTGAAATTGATCCTGTTTTTTCAGAGTCCATGCAGACTCAAGCCAATTGTAGGTAGTGCAGTGAGGTTCCAAAAGCAAATTTCTTAAAACGGTTTGACTAAACACTGCTTGGCTGGAAAGTACTTTGTGTAAGGGATAAGTTTTCAGACCGAAATGTTTTACATTTCACATTCAGCTGACAAGAATCCCCAAGTAGCGATACAATGCTCAGAGGAACCAGTCCTGCAATGTCTCAGGCACTCTCTGCTGCGTTGACAGGTGTGCAGTGGGTGCTCAGCTGAAGAGAAAACAGTGTCCATAACTGGACTTTGTTTCTTTTTTGTAAAGCTAGAAGGCAAAGACGTTAGACGCCGTAATGGTGTGCAAAAGTAAGCCGTTTTTCATGAGAAATACAGGAATGGATTGTGATATCCTCACTTTTAACTTATCTTTGTAAGAGTACCGTTTTTTTTTTTTTTTGCTTGAATATTTTGTTTAATACATATTTTCTCATTTCTAAGCATTCATTTCTTTTTTTTATCTCATAAAAACTTTTTTTAAGATTGTATATCAATAATGGGTCTATCAACATAAATGCTTTGAAGGTCACTCCCTTAATGTTCTGTGTTAACCAAATTAAATAGGTTTAAAACTTCCCCAGAAACCTATTTACTAGGTAAGTTTGTTCATATAGAACAGTGCAGTAACATGATAATTCAAGTGGGCTGTACTTGAACAGAGCATAAAATAAATATATTTTCATATTAAATTAGATCAATATTGAACATGAGGGGCCCCAAGATGGACCCTTGGGGAACACTACAACTGATTTTTGTGTTATCTGATGTAAAGTTACCAACTTACAGGAAGTATCTGTCATTCAAATAGCAACAGCTGTTGCTGATTTAACCCTATCAAGAACTGTAGCACAACATACAAACACATAAAATGCAACTGATACTTTTAGTATATCTGACTTTGATGCATGTTTTCTGTCTTGCAGTATACAATCTGGAACTTTCTACCAAAGAACCTGTTTGAACAGTTTCGAAGAATTGCCAATTTTTACTTCCTCATTATCTTCCTGGTGCAGGTAAGGACAGTCTTTCAGCTTGCAAGACCACATCAATATTTGCTGGTGCATGCATTTCTTCTTAATTTGCAAAATATCCTTACGTGTTGATGGTTCAGTGTAACAACATATAGAATGTAAACCTGTTTGAAGGTGATGTAGGAAAGGAAATCAATTTGTACATGGCCGTTGTGAAACATTACAGACATGACAGCAGCTCATGGGTGGTTTAACAGTGAGTGTGACTTAACATTGTGTTTTTGCAACCTCTCTAGAAGTTCAGATATTTCTATTTAGCAGAAATAGTAATGAAGAAAGTAAATAGTTGTATAAGATATGAATAAAAATAAAATGAGTAGAAAAAAACCTAAGGTAAACATTAGAATTCCTAAAATAAGAGCAAAGTTGATCCCAGTGGTTTTCAAACCTGATCCTCGATACCCACTAACCTTTGCTTTGTTGAATCAAAGTATTGCATACCTTCCTCAGCAGCCACAGGCTGCAGAAGCCTACAAATCACCCATTTATTTAAGTCACATTCGTAAAGGTAGAATAAATTCCTAAAACATGCAAGACAGTGGGTCCTGAAGGCTGAGTTTGAAAACCATCTGCCTATGATTTAAACAAGATCTCCTGTCCAGACGTTGACCACAGCCTCGGTATTTTCATGTGTTGTTATTCTTTTTAACTGCTTTCTTACAGTGGTTTTATACCATACAAGCCTATAAGTTGATGAGCTGCTGAATATGTCGAAGCAACCATTTTAAGACTAAATCTTTCCCCCTTTGCTCTACTTTTTTAGGAGTTGTTCAAAACACAGAAGGGGCTCTGCTTAAGTGGCCTTGTGTGGCCCTTGTGTAGCAGGATATTGTTTATAGTTTGTGCAGCGTCCTCTTTGTTAATGCAAACTGAGGTTTCAAAGATCACAACATATTGTCTTAGCACTAAAGAAAGTAAATTATTCTTCTCCCCTCAGAATTGGCAGCAAAAATAAAGATGACTGGATTTTCCCTCTGCCTTTTTGTCCATAATTCCTAGAACTTTTTACTTGACTCCTAAAAGGAGGAACTAGATGCTCCCCTTTGGAAGGAACCTGAAGTATTCCAGTAAACATCTCTCCAAACTAAACAGATGTTAGTTTGGGCTCACTTACAGGGCAGAATCTTTTTTCTCAGCCGTCATACTGACTAAACAAGCTCTGACGGGTAGTTCCCATCACTCCAGCTCTGTAGCTCACAGATGCAGATCTTATCAGTTTAAATAGACCCAAATAATTAAAGTTTTCCCCTTTAATAGCTTTCAACTCCTTTTTCTTAGTTTGTTTTTCAGATTTTTTGGTGTGCCTAAGTGTATTACAAGTAGGCTTTGGCATTGGGAATCCATAATTGACCTGAATCATTTCAGACCTTTTAATTCTCGTGGAATTGTTCACAATTTTTTTTCTTTCGATTCTTAGTTTTAATACTATATATTATCTAAGATGATCCCAAAGAGTTTTCTCTGCAACTGTCTGTGATACAGCATTCAAATGTTTTGCTTAACAATAATTAAGGAAAAGACCAGTGGGATTATATCATACAGAGGATGCCACATACAGCCAATATTATTTAACACCACATAACTCGTCTTTGACCCATTGCACCGCTGTTGTAACGTAGGTTCTCTGAGGGAATTTGTTTCTGCTTTAAATGCACAGTGCATCTTCTGCAGGTAGAACAGAAACTTTCTTCGTACTATTTTCCTCTTACTTTACATCTTAACATATACTTGCCTCATTTTAAACATGTTCTGGATAGAATGGAAGACAGTTTAACATAGATGAGCCTATCTTATAAATAATTAAGTGTAACTCCAATCATTGTTTATTGCAGTTCATTTAAAATCTGTTTAATTTCAATTCAGTTTATTTATGTAGCACCAATTCAGAACATGTCATCTCAAGGCACTTTACAATTCAACCAGATCACACAGTCAAATTGATTCAAAGTTTTCTATCTAAGGAAAACCAGTTGTTTGCTTCGACTCATTGACTCAAAGGCAATCCCTCACACTAAGCATCCTTGTAGTGACAGTGGAGAGTAAAAACTCCTTTAAACAGGAAGAAACCTCCAGCAGAACCAGACTCGGAGTGAGCGGCCATCTGCCGAGGCCGACTGGGGTTCAAGGAGACAGAAGCAGACATGCACTAAGAAGCAGAGATACAAAAGGCAACTCTAATGCTACGTTCAGACCGCACACACTAGTGGCAGCAGAAGCAGCTAGTTTCGATGCAAAGTCAATGGTTGATGTGCATCAAGGTTTCATAGGTTTGATATGTATATACTGATGGTAGAAAATAACCGTGATAATTTATAGTAACGTTCACACAAAGTTAGTTGTTGAAGGAGTTGTTGAAGAAATTCAGACTGTATGATCGTATCAAAAATTTGTTAGTCAGGTAGTTTATAACATGTAAACTTCAATGATACTTTTTTTTAAGAGAATCAGAATCATACAAATTCAGTTGATGCACAGCCCTAATTACAATCATGTTATTTTTTAAGATAAATTAATTTCTGAAATTGTTGTCCTCTAACGGTGCACAATGTCTTGTGGGTGTAAATCAGCATACATGTTTGAATTAAATGTGCATTTTCTATTGCTGTGTTGTAAACAAAGGTCTCAGGTTTACACTAAATAGAAGAATGTGTTTGTTTGCTTCCTTGAAAAATTAGTTGAAGAGTCTACTGTTATTAATGGTGTTCATTGATGCTGAAGCGTGATAAACTGATTTGGATAAGGCCATTCTTTGCAGGAGCCTCCTTAAGGTAAACAGTTGGTTATATTTCACAAAACATGCCAGTATTTTAGATGGTGTGGAACTGTAAAGTGTGCAGCTGATTTGCACTTGAATATTTTTCCTACAGATATAAAACATCCCACATCCCATGAGAGAGACTATATGCAAATACCCAAACATTGATGTCATTTAACCTCCGACTCTATTCCATCAACCTTTTGTCTCCTCTTCTTCTTCAATCCTAGGGATGCCGTCTTTCTTTCTCTGTCTCTATCACATAGCCCCCCGTGTCTCTGCAGCGCTGCACTGCTGACGTAAGCAGCCAGGGAGCCCTCTGTACTTCACAGCGACACAAATAGACACAGGGGGGGGAAAAAAAAGCACCACTTTTCTATAAATAGCCCCTGTATGTCTTTGCCTGAGTTCAGTCGAACGGGAATAGAGTACTGTGAGAGACAGAGACTGAAAATGAGAACGAGAGAGAGAAAGGAAGACTGGGTAGGAGGACATCAATGCCCTCGGCACAGCACTAGGGACTCTCGAGAGCGGTTGTCTGTTGCTCACCCTGACACGTATCCCGCATCAGATTAAGTGCAGCTCTGCTGTACCGCTCTCAAATCACAACCGCATATCAGCAGGAGCACACAGTTCACTTATACTGCAGAGTTTAGTTTATTTATTTATATATTTTTTGGCATTGCGTTTGGTGCATTGGAGAAAGGTGGTGGGGTATCTGAAAGTTTAGTGTAGGAAAAATAGTGTGCATCGTTGACTGTCACAGCACATGGCACAAAAATATGATGCTCTGAACTGTCTTGTTTGTGGTTGTAAACGGTTCCCTTATAAAGTTAAATGAAATGGAACTGTTAATTTTGAGTGTTGTAAATCTTAGGCTACGTTCACACTGCAGCCTGAAGTCACCCAAATCAGATTTTTTTGGCCCATATGCGACCTGGATCTGATCTTTTCATGGCTGTCTGAACAAAACGGATCCAATTTTTTCCCATCAGACCTAGGCCACTTGGCTATGTGGTCCTGAATCCGAAACAAATCTGATCTTTTCAAACTCGACCTGTGTCTGAACGGAAAGGTCGCATTCCTCTGAACTGAACGCCATTAGTAACTGACATGGGTCACTATTCTGCTTCTTGCTACACAGAAGCATCGAGAAAACCAAACACCATTGCGGAAGATGATGCGCAGAGCAGTATTTTTTTTTTTTTACCATCTTGAAAAGATTGAGGTTTTAAGGTTTGGAAAGATCGCTAGATGCGCTTCAGCACTATGCATGTTTGTTTCCCTAAACACGGAGCACGCTGGCTTGTGACATAATTGCGTCCTTTTCTGCACATGCGGGACATTTCAGCTGTATGAATGCAGTTTACACAGGAGATCACATACAAGTGTTATATTTTTGGAAATGTGAACAGTAACGCAAAAAAATCTGATTTCACAAAAAAATCTGAATTGAGCATCAAGGCCTGCAGTGTGAATGTAGCCTTAGATAGGGGATTAACATTACATTTATGAATAATGGAAAATTTTCTTTATATCTAAAATCATACAGGGCATTTTTCTGTTGGATTGTTGGGTTTAAACTAGTTGAGATCTGCTATGCACCTTTTATGCTGAGCATACGCTGTGTGATTTATTTTTTTTTTTCAATTGTTGTGCGCAGCTACAACTCACACTATACGAGGTCTTAGTCCTCTCTCTCATGCCCCCTTTCCTGTCAGCCTACTGTCGAAAAAAACAAGCCACCAGTGATATAAAAACTCAAAAAAAAAAAAAAAAATGATAAAACTTTTTGAATAGCATGATAAAACACCAAGCAAAATGATAAGCAATGGTAACGTTTTATTGTTTGGCAGGATGGCAAAAAGATCGACTAAGTCATTAAAACAGAGAGATTTAAAAAAAAAATATGTAAGCAATTTCACCAGAAAGAAAACATGTGACCGCATTTCTGATTACGATTCCAAATAAAGCTGTTTTCTTTCACTTAGATGTACAGAGTTTTTTTATTTAACCTTCTGGAGTTTAAGCTCTAGCTTTTTAGTAGGTTATATATTAAAGTAAAATGTCCAGCCCATTGTGGAAAACTGCTGATAAAGTACTGCTTAGTAAGGCCATTGGCTGCCTGTCTATGTGCTTCTGAATGTGCTGTTTATTTACAAAAATCATCTGAAATTATCTTTTAATTATTGCAGTTTGCCACTGCAAGCTCCCTCTGCACATAACCTTTATTACCAAAATTTGCAATTATGAGCAAACCAATTAATGCAATGAAACACAGCTTACAATTCCTGTTTGAACAATAAAAGTGATTATGTTTTTAGTGTGAGAACCTTTTCAACTTTGAAATGATAATATTTGTCATGGAATGAAGATGAAAGCAGTCTTAGATTGAACATTTTGTACCCAGACCCTAAAAAAAGATCCTACCACCCACAATGTCTTTTTTTAGCTCTTTAGTATACTCCTAAGAAGTACCAAAGTAAGAATGCTAACTTTGGTACTTCTTTATTTCTGAAGGTTATTTATAATGCACAGTTTAAACAACTGCTCCTAACTGAAGTGCTGTAGTTTAAAAATAGTCAAATGCAAAGGACGATCTAAAGATTGATTAGGATGCTTTAGGCTGAGCTGTGTGTGGCTTTCTGAATGCCTTATCACTTAGTTATTCTCTTTTTAGTCATTGTGGTTGTGGTTATTCCCCACAATTGCTTGACATATTTAAATACTTTGAAGTCTTCTTGAAAATTGGGATCCGTTATCTTTGAAAGTAATGCTGTACCTGCCTTTTGGTGTTAAAATGTTTTAGATTGACATGTAAAAATATTTTTTTATGTGAAGCTACATGTGGAGAAGTCAAGCAAATTTACATTTTATAAAAATAAAAACCAAGCAGAGCTAAAAGTACTTGTTATCAAGCTATAAAACATACCAAACATTACCTATTTTAGGCCCCTTAGGATTACCAACACTATCTTTGGTAAATGTCAGAAGATAAAGTGTATTGTTTTATTTATGTTATTTTTTTAAAATTCAGGAATTACATTTCCCCAATTACATTTGAAAAGCTTTCCAAGCATTTGTAGTTATCACACTAAAAGAAAAATGTCTTCAACGACTATTATTGAAAAGCAGTTAAAACTTCTCCTTACAACTCGGTGACAGACATAGGTTTTGTCCTCACACATCATAATTGTGTGTATATGTATACGTGTGTGTGTGTATATATATATATATGTGTGTATGTGTATATATATATATATATATATATATAATGACGAATTTTTTATATGTATTATTGATGCACTTATCTCCTAATACCATTAAAATTCTAGTTATTTGTTCATTTCAGGGTTATGTTTATATTGGTTTTGATGTGAATATAGAAATGGTTCAGCAGGACCTTTGAAGAGTTTATAATTGCTCTGTTTTGATCCTAGTATTGTTGATGGTGAACTCTGACCATGTTAATCGGTTTATAACTCAAATGACTGGGGAGAACAATGCTTTGCTTAATTTAGTAATCCACCTAGCTTACAGTAGGTTGCAGCTTTCAGTACCTTGAAGCTGATACACGTGCATAATTTTTATGGATCGCGCTGCTTGCTTTGTTGAGTTTTGCTATATGTACCTACGGGAGCTTCATAATGTATAAATGATTGATGAGTTTTCTTTCAGTTTTTTTCCAAACAAAGCAATCAGTTGATCTAAATATGGCTGTGTTACCACTGTGTCTTATCTGTTTAATTGAGATGGTTTATTCCAAAGATATTAGTATTTTCTGTAAGAATGAAGTAGATTTAGCTTTAATCTTTGGACTTGTTCTGTCTGTTTCCTTTGAACAGGCAAATAAAACATTAAAAATGACTTCTGTGCTCCTGTTTATTTAGACGTTTTCCCATTTTATCTTCATGCAAGTGTGAGAAAAAAGAAATATGAAATTTCCCAGCAGTTATTCCAAGAATATAAATTGGTTCAGTAGGTCATGTCTGTGCATGCCAAATAAAACCGGCTCTGCAGCTAGAGAGGGGACTTCGGTGAGAAAAAGGCAGGTTTGGGGGGGTGTGAGTGAGTGTATCCAACAATGCAAAGTAAATGCATTACATGGTTTAAATTAACACAAAAACATAGAATGTATTGTTATATTACACAATCTAAACTGGTAAGAATCAATTCTGCTAATCATAGCTGCTGTGCATGCTCACAATATATATCTAGATATCCCACTACACAGCTGAGGGGGCTGGATGGTGAATGGGGGGGCATAATAACATAACTTTGGCAAAGCTCCTTACTGGCCCTCTATGATGCCTTGGCAGAGACACAGAAGTGTTGGCATGCCTTTGGATTAAGGCACTCCATCCCAGTCTCTCTTGATTAAAAGTTTCTTAGCCCAGAACTTCCTTTGCTTCCCTCTAAAATACAAATGTTTCCTTAATTTCTCTCCTTTTGTTAAAATATGTGATATCATTTACGAATCTCAGAGAAATGGATTACATTCTGCATTCAAGGGGCTTTAGCCATATATTTTATACTATTACCACACATTCTTCCTGTCGCAGAGATAACTTCCTACATCACAAGTTTATGATTGAAGACCTAAATTAATCTTTTCATTTGCCTCACAGGTGATAGTGGACACCCCTACAAGCCCAGTCACCAGTGGCCTACCTTTATTTTTTGTCATCACAGTAACTGCTATCAAACAGGTAAGACCCTGTCTAATGAGGCAGATCAGTGGAGATAATAGAAATGTTATTATGTCTCTATTGCCATGTCCTCATTTTCCATTGTTTTTTATTGCATTACACCCCCACTCGGTATATAAGACATTAAGTTCTGGTGCCTTTTTCTATAAACTGCTTGACTAATCTCTTTGGTATCAATGGGCTCTGCTGGTTAGCTACTATTGGGGCAAAGATGAAATGAGCTCCAGGGAAGTGTGAGTAAATGGAGAGGGAACAAGCCAGCCAGTTTATTAGAGGGATACAAATTATCAAGGGGAGTTTCTTTTTCTTTAGTTCTGTTGCTGCAATGTCCCAGTGTTAGATGTATTGTTTAGGAGTGGACCTTTTAGCTGGTCTACTGCTGGGACTTTGAAATATACAACAGTTGGTGGACTTCCCTGCAAAAATAAAAGGGAAGCGCTGATAATAGAGCTCCAGTTTTAGCCAGGGTTTGATGTGGGACTCCAAGGAGGTCTGCCTGTCTTCATTACTTTGAGTGAAGTAATTCCTACTGCCTCTCCTTATCCTCTCCCTGGAATTAGTCCTCTTTTTTAATCAACCAGACTTTCTCTTATTTCACCTTTCCCTGTTATCCCACATTTTGGCTGAACATCAGTCTTGGCATGAATAACACCCATTCTTCTTCAGCATCCCCTGTACCTTAATCAAAACTTTTCAGGGATTAACCTGATTGTATGCCTTGTATGACTGCATAATGTGCTTTACATTCTACCTGATGGTATCTATTTAACTGTATCCCTTTAAATAGCTCTTTTGGAAGGTTAACAGTACTAAGAAAGTTTACAGCCATTATTGTTCTGTTTTGTTTAGAAGTACAAACTTTATTCATTATTTGACTTGTGTTGATCTCATCATGCCGCTAGTAGTAATGACTCTGTGAAAGTTTGCAATTTTTACCTTGCTCAGCAAACAATATATTTCTGTTTTGACACATTGCCACAGGGATATGAGGATTGGCTGCGGCACAAGGCCGACCGTGAGGTGAATGAGTACCCGGTGACAGTACTGGAGAATGGCGAGATGAAAAGAAAACAGAGTGAGAAGATCAAGGTAACATTTAGTACACGCCCCAAAGCCTAGATCAATAAGGGTAAATGAAACAATATTTCTGCTGACGCAGCCTGTTTAGCTTTTTAAATATGGGCTGATAATAATCAATATCACTTTGGTAATACGCAGTTTCTGTAGCAATTCAGTTCGATTTTATGCCAGCTTTAAGACTTTGATATGTTTAAGCCACTTGACAGCAACCTATAAAATCATTTAAGCCTAAGAGGCTGGAAAACCCAAGATAAACTCAGGTTGTGTGGACATTGGGCTTCATAAAAAGCCATACCAAGGTTTCAGGTAGAGATCAACCAAAATTTTTTAAGGCCGTGCCATTACTAATAATTTTGACAGCAGCCCAATTGATCAGCAGCTAATTTTTTTGCATTGATTTTTAGAACCAACATAGGTTTTCCTTCCTCCATTTACAAGATAAAAATGACACAATGATGAAAAATGTTACACAAGTTTTCTTTTGAACAGGAATGAATCATTAAATACAATAAACAAACTAAACATTAACAATTTAATGCAAATTAAGGGAAATGGAAATCCATACATTTCACATGATTTTAAAGCCTGACTGCTGATGCAATAATAAATCGGCCAACCCATGCATGTATCAGCTGATACGGTTATAAGAAAAAACAAATCTGCCAAAAATGAAAGCTTGCCGATGTATTTGTCTAACTCTACTTTCATTGGTCACAGCTTCAAGACTAATACACATTTAGAGCCTACGGTTATGGTCTAAAGTTTGTCTAATTAGATGTAAAGCAAAATAATGAAGTAACCAAAGTTTTCTCTGCTTATTTTAAGCATAGAATGGCATCTTACCACACATATGACTGTGCACTGCTTGTTAACTGGCTACTACTAGGGTCCCCTCATTTTTTGAATCAGAAAGATTTTTATTATTATTATTATTTTTTTGTTTAGTGGCTAAAGCTAACTCGAGAGAAGCTAAATGACTCAAGTGTTGTGACTAATTATCAAGCTAATATTAGTTAATATAACTTATGTAGCTTTATAAAAAGCAATAATAAATTGCCAAGTTGTATCATAGTCTAGGCAATAAACATTTACAAACTCCTACTAAACTTATTGGGTGTTGGTTTTTGTATACCTTTCTTTAAAAATTATCAACATTATTTCTTAAATAATTTTTCCTTGCAAAAATTAAAACATGAAATAAGTTTTTAATGTGATTGCAATTAAACAAAATCATGATGTCCTTGCATGAGTCCTTAAAGGTTTAAGTTATGCTTTTTTGTTTTGATTAATACCTTATACAGGGGTTTTGTGTCTTAATTTATAATAAAGACTACTATAGCAAAAGTCTAATGTAGCAGCCCGCTCCACACATGCTACATCAGACTCTGAAGAAAAAAATATAATGAGGCATTTGTCTGCCTAAAAACAGGGTCTGAAATGAACACTTGCCACTTGCAACTGCATTTTTCATTTGGCGAGTTAATGCAAGAGCACCATTCGCCACAAGATGAGTAAATATTTGGACCACAATTGCGCACTCAGAGAGCTCACCAACAACACCCAGTGATTTCACAAAAACAATATATAGTATACAGTTTGAGAAACTGAGCCTTCTGAAAGACAACATGCCAATGAGGAGGAGGGGGGGCGAGGATCTACAGCCTAGAGGGCTAAGAGAACATTTTTTGAAAAATAGCGCTTTTGGGAAGACTGTGTTTTTCAAGAGACTGGCTTATTTATGACGAAGATGCTAGGCAAGGCAAATTTATTTGTATAGCACAATTCAGTACAAAGACAATGCAAAGTGCTTTACATGA